TCAGTCCGCCCCTGCTCAGTAGTGTACAAAGTAATCAAAGAGAGCCTGTGTATAGGTCTGTATGACAGGAAGAGGGGTTCCAGCACTTGCATCTACTATAAATTGGGACCCAACTCATTAGGTCCTTTATGCAGCTGTAAATTATGCACCAATTGTTTGCCTGCCTATGGGCAGGGCACACTTGGTGGTAGTAATTTAGAGGGATCAGTCAAGACAAAGTTTTCTGTGCTGTGCTGTGACCATTTGTAAAATAAGGCACTTTACAGTTCTATTAAAAAAGCAGTACAGTAACACAGAACCTACATGTGCCAGCATGCTTGAGGACCTTTAAATAGATCCCCCTGGCTGATATAAAGTAGCTTCTACTTAAGGTGCTATATTAGAAATGCAGGTGGCATGAATGCACAGACCAAATTTAGGCTGGAACAGGGTCCTCCCTGCAGTTTTCCGCACCATCCCTACACTGTCCCTACTCATCAAAGATGTTTCCCTGCACTAGACCTATCTTGACCTAGCCAGCATGTGCACTGCCTTGATAGTTCGCACAATGCAGGAATGCCAGACTGACCCATCAGGGACTACAGTAAAGCCTCTCTGGGTCCCAAAGTGACTGCCCAAAGCTCAGGAGAATTTGGTTCAGTCAGATACTGGCTCTCCCAAAATGGGTGCTGGGAGCCCAATACAAGGCAATCCTTTGTAAGGTTCCCACAAAGGTAAGCAGTGATCACATGATTGCTTTGTTTACTTCTGGCTGTAAAAGGGAGTAATTTTGTGATCTGCAGATACTGTTACCCACTTGAACGGTATCACCAGTTGGGGTGATAGTGACAGCAGCGAAACAGCAGCACCCTCCTAAACACTCTGGTCAACAAAAAGAAAGAAAGATGCTTGTAATAGAGGGTTACAGCCAAGAGTTATTTGTTTCTGTGCAAAGGAGGAGAGTGGCGTTAGAATTTGAGTTAGAAAGTGAGGAGGAAAGCAAGATGGACGAGAGTGCAGAGGTCATTTGACAGGTGCACTGGGTGAGGCCTATGGCCTGGGAGGAACCAAGACCTTGATTTCGAAAGAGTCTAGCACACATTAACCCCCCTGTCCATCACTGCCCTTGGGTAGGACTTGGTACAACACTTAAGTTGATCTTCAGTAGATGTGGACTTTGTGGGACTACCACTACCAGAGAGTTTGGGACACTACTGCATTAGCTGAACAGAATTATGCACTGAAGATTTGTAGGCTAAGTGTCTACGTAAGTGAATCCTATGAGCACCTATATTAGGGATAGGAGTGGCGGGGATCAAATACATGTGTCAGTTTGAAACAGTGATGAGATAGCACCATCTGTTCTCAAGTTGATTTCATTTGGACAACCGTAGTAAAGAGACCTCTGTAGAAAGTGTGAGGCTCCTATCTAGGCCTAGAACCTACAAATGACTGTACTGGAAACCAGTGGGACATGCTGGTGCTTTGGAGCACTGTCGTTACAAAGCTGCTAAATGAGAGACCCCCTGTAGATCTGATAGCTTCAGTTGAAGATGTTTACACAGGGGAGAATGTATTTACACACTTCTGCTATATCTGATGAGAGAGCTCTATCAGTCAGTCTATAATAACATCTCATATGCTAATGAGAGGCACATTTTCTTTTGTATAACTGATTTGGCATCCATTGTGTGTGCACAGAGTGAGTGGCAGATGATTGAAAGATACAAATCTAGGCCACAGTGGAAGTGAAAGCTGGCACACCCATTGTAATTTGGCTATGCCCACTTTCAGTCATGACACGCAAAGCACACATTACTTTTCACTCTGCACGTTTTTTTTTTTTTTACAATTACAAGCCAAAAAGGGTCTATTGCTGAAACACACATATGACAATAAACTGATTTTGCCCCCAAACCTCTAGCTAATTGTCTAAGAGCAATAAAAACACTGAACGTATATCACGCGATGTGTGGTACAGAAATCAGTGATGTATTTATGTTTGCCATAATCTCAGTGGGATTTTCCCTTTTCTTTACTTTCCATACTTCACTTTTCTCTGTACCTGTTTCAAAATAAAAGAAACTGTCATACAGGAAAGCCTTTTATTAACCACAATCTTTATTAAAACTGTTACTATATTTACACCACACAAACAGTTACTTATATAAAATGATCATCAGTTAGTACGGCTGAAATTCTCATGGTAAAATAAATGCAATAACAATGTACAACATGCAACCAATGCATAATGAAATAGAAAAGCTACAATTTCTGGGGAAATTGTGTGTGAAGTGTTCTTGCCTCCACCAGTAGTCTACAACTGGAGTGGTTGGAGTAACTGGGTGGAGTGGCTTGTCACTCAGCTGCCTGCTTACACACCTGGGTTCCTATGGCAACTCACTCTACAGCAAGGGCAGAGAAGAGCAGTTAAAAACAAACTGCTCCAACTTGCTCACTTCACTGGCAGTTGCCATCTTCAAACGGTTGTAGTTTAAAAATTATAAATCCTACACTGAAGAGATTTATATTGTGAGAATCACAAGACCCAGACCTACATGATGCATAGTATGTCTCTGAAATATTAAAAATGAAGGCACAGTCGCAGTTTAGAAATTGCCCTTCAAATTTGAGGTGGCTAGAGTGGCGTTTCAATGAATGTCAATTGGCGGCGTGAGTTGCAAACAAATGGTCATATTGTGAAAACTATCAGGACTATGGCTTAGCCGTGGACATTTTTAGTGGCAGCAGGGATAGCTGAACATTTTGATATAAGATTTGTGGGTGGGCTTGAAAATGAGGGAGTGATGGCAGTTTTGAAATCATGTCCTGATTTTTCAGCTCACACTCTAGCTTTTGTCAGCTCCCACTCTAGTTGTGAACATTCCGCCATTCATTCCTATGGGACGAATTTCACCACAAAAACGCCGATATTTCGGGAACCATTCGGCGAAACGTTCCACAAAGTAATAGCACACCAATCGGAACAATCCGCACGTTTCCCTATATTACTGTCTATGTAGTGTAAAAACTGTGGGAGGAGTTAGGGTGGTAAATTTGGCTATAATAATAAGAATATATATGTGAGATAACAGTAAGTGGTCTTGCCATGCAAGAACACTTAATGAATGGCAATCTTTTCAAAGTTGTCCTTTTTCTTGTGCCATAGCTGAGGTATAGTGATTTGCATACAACATTATTATTTTCTAGTGAGGTCTGCTTCTCAACAAGGGCCAACATGGAATATAGGAGGCAGCCAAAGTAGAATGTCATAGAAGCTAGTTAGCAATGGCGGAAATCACAGATTCCTTGTAATTCATCATTAACCACTTCCCATCAGGCCGCTGTATATAAATGGCCAGACGGTGGCAGTGCAAGGGCGGGTTGCCATTCATGAACAGCGCCTGCTAGTTTGGACTGTGCGCGCTCCCTGGGATCGCTGTACGGGACCTCTGTGTGAGGTCCCGATCATGTGATCACTGATTGGCCAATCAGTGATCACATGAATAGGTGTAAGCAAAATGTCACTTCTGACATCATTGCTTACTACCTGTGAAATCTGTGAATGATCACAGAGATTACATGGTACAAGGCTATTCACAACAGTCTTGTACCATGTGACAATCTGTGACCAATCAACAGTATTTATCAATGGCTGCAAGAATTCAGCCAGAGAGAAGGAGAAATGATTGTTTTACAGTCTCTATGGGTGTAAAAGCAATCAGTGTAAAAAAAAAAAATCTTCATTACCCCCCACACGTAGTACAGTGTCACTATGGTGACACTGTACTGCTAAGGTGACAGTATGTAAAAAAAAAAACATAAATAATAATATAAAAAAAAAATAAAATAAAAATGTAAAAAAAAAAAATTTTGAAAAAATTTCATTTTTGGTTATAAACTAATTTGGGTTATTTGTTTTACTAAAAAGATAACTGAATACAATTTGGTCAAGATTTATGAAGCAAGATTTTTTATTTGCAAAATTGTATAAGAAAAACAAATTTATTCAAAATTTTTGGACTATTTCATTTATATAGCAAAAAAAAAAAACCCCAGTGGTGAATAAATACCACCAAAATAAAGTTTTATTTGTCTCAAAAAATGCTAAAAAATTCATATGGGTACAGTGTTGCATGACCGCGCAATTGTCATTCAAAGTGTGACAGCAGTGAAAGCTTAAAATTGGCCTGGATAGGAAGGGGGTAAAAATGTCCGGACATGAAGTGGTTAATAAAATTGCGGTAAAACCATTGTTTTTTCTTTTCAGCAAAGAGATGGCTACACCAGAACCATCCTAAAGATGTGTACTTAACATTTGTAAAGGAATGCAAGTTAAAGCGGTAGTAAATTGCTGCTGAAAAAAAAACCTGGTCCCCCCGCAGGGTAAAGCCAAATATAATAATATGCACCACATAATAGCACATTGTGACAGATTTACATGTGAAACAAATTCCTCCAGCAGCACCCTGTCACTACTGATAAGGAATCCATCTGCACCCGGTCTTCTTTTGGGTTCGATGGCTGCGGCCACTTGAATGGCCAAACCACGATGATGTCACTCCTGTGCATGCACGCAGTCACTATTCACAGCACAGGGCTCTGAAGGAATGCCACAGGTATACTATTCCTTCAGAGCGCATGGGCCAGTGATGTCACTGGTGGCTACAAAGGTAAATATCTCTTCAACGGTGCTTAGGAGATATTTACGGTACCTACAGGTAAGTCTTATTATAGGCTTGCCTGTAGATACAAAGCAAAAAAGTGTGTTTACTCCCACTTTAACTGCTTCCTGACCGCCCTATAGCAGAACTACTGCTACAAGACGGCATATATACTTGATTTTGCATTTTCGGGTAGGGGGCACGTGCGCCCGCCCTACGCGTGCCCCCATTGACGGCTACAGATGTCAGTCGCCAGGTCCCAGCCAATGATTCCCTGCTGGCACCTGGTGATCGCCGAGTAATCATTGACAGGGGAGAGACCTGTTTGTAAACAACACGGGTCTCTCTCCTGCCAGCAGTAGCATGTTTCCCTAGTATAACACACACAGTAAAACACACACAGCACACACAGTGATTGCCCACAGATGTCCCCTTCCTGCCCAGTTCATTAATACAGTGTCAATGCTTGTTATTAGCACTGATCACTGTATTAGTGTCTTTGGGATGCTAGTGGCAGTTAGTCAGTTCCCCCCCCAAGTTTCAGAATGCCCACCACAGTCCCGCTTTAAGTCACTGATTGGCACCATAATTAGTATACAAAAAAAAAAATTCCATTACATATACCGTCATTTGTAGACACTATAACTTTCACATAAACTAATTAATTTACAAGTATTGGGATTTTTTTTAGCAAAGACATGTAGCAGAATATATTTTAGCCTAAATTTATGATGAAATTTGATTTTTTTTTACATTTTTTATACTGGATATGTTTTGTAGCACAAAGTAAAAAATACTGGGGTTTTTTTTCAAAATTGTCAGTCTTTTTTTGTTTATAGTGCAAAAAATTGAAAAACACACAGTTGATCAAATACCACTGAAAGAAAGCTCTATTTGTGGGGGGAAAAGGGACACAACTTTCATTTGGGTGCAGCATTACATGACCGCGCAATTGTCAGTTAAAATAATGTAGCTCCGTATCGCAAAAAATGGCCTGGTAAGGAAGGGGGTAAATCCTCTGAAGGGCAAGCGGTTAAAGGAGATCTATGGTCACAGCATACACTTTTATTTTAGAACATCAGCACTGTAATAACTTTCTGAATTCCCTGCATGCTTTGCAGCTTCTTTTCTGCTGTTTACTTTTAATGTCTAAGAGCTACATATCCTATGGCACCTTGCTGCCTGCAAGCAGCGAGTGCCGGTTTACATATATGTGGACTGGTTGCGGTTTGAACCGCATCCAATCCACATGACATGTGAAATAACATTGTTTCCTATGGTGCCCATTCACATATGTTCAGTGTACTGGCAGAGCGCATTTAGTAAGGATTCAGTGCAGATTGAAAAAGAGTGCTGTCTGATTTTTGAGCAGTGCGTTCCAGTACAGGTGCAGATTACAGGCTATTGACTTCTATGCAGGGGCGGACTGACCATTTGGAAACTCGGGCACTGCCCGAGGGCCCGGGCATAGTAGGGGGCCCCATGAGATGCCCCTGGTACCTTTTTCATAGGCTTTTTTGGGTTTGGCCAAGGACACAGGGGCCCAATGATCCCCTATTGCCCGGGGGCCCCATGAGTTGTCAGTCCGCCCCTGCTTCTATGGGAACCTTTTCTAAACCACACTTGTGTGAACCGGATAAACTCCTCACCTGAACCTATCCTGAACTTGATGTAAACCTGATCTGAGCCTGTGAACAACTACTGTGTCAATTAGCTGTGAAACCTGAGCTTCAATCTGCACCGCACATGTGTGAATAAGATCCTGAAACTTATCCCTGCGCCACTCTAGTTCAGAAGGTAGGCTCTGTGAATTTGGTGACACAGTAGTACCTATCAACAGGGCATAGTCAATATGTGTCACAGAATTCAAGTTAATGTGTTGGGAACTTTGCAGAGTAAGTTTACAAAACTTCAAGATCGTTCACATTAATATTAGGCTAGACAGAAATACAATGTGAAATTGCATATATGATTTTTCCATTTGACCATAGATGTGATTTAAAGTAGATCTACCATCAGATACAATTTTCCATTCTCAGAATACTGACACCGTTTGTATTCAAACATCACTTAGGGTTAGCATCTACTGCGGGGACTAAGATGTGGACTTATGTAGTGTTATAAATCCTGATGCATTTATTATTCTGTTCCAGTACTTTTGGTCCCTTAACAAGTGGGAGGCACATATGCAAACTGTTGTAATTCCTACACCGTTCACCTGATTTGGATATAAATACCCTCAAATTAAAGCTGACAGTCTGCAGTTAAAGCAAATCTTGTTCGTTTCATTTCAAATCCATTGTGGTGGTGTATAGAGCCAAAAATCTTAGAATTGTGTCGATGTCCCAATATTTATGGACCTGACTGTATGCTCCTATGTGCTCGTAATCTTTATGTTCTTAGCTGTTTGTAAAGGCAGACCATGGTGTTATTCATTCTGAACGGCACGTTAACACATGTTCCCAGTGCACATGTATTGCAGCATAGCACTACATGTGGCAACATACTGATGTGGGTTGGATTGCCCTGCTGTGGCTGTATGCACAATATTTGGTGCATTGTAGGGCAGCTAACTCAAATTAATGGGCTGCCTTAACACAATGGGGGAGATTTACTAAAACTGGAGGGTGCAAAATCTGGTGCAGCTCTGCAGAGAGAAACCAATCAGCTTCCAGTTTTTACTGTCAAAGATTAATTGAACAAGCTGAACTTATTAAAAGCTGATTGGCTACCATGCACAGCTGCACCAAATTCTGAGTGCTCCAGTTTTAGTAAATCTTCCCCAATGCATGCTAACATACACATGTGTATCATGCACTGCAATGGACCAAGCTGGCATTAACCTACCTTTACTGTCCACGAAGATGTCCCTGGTTTTCATGCTGATTAAAAGACACTATAAAATGTTTTTGCTGATGTTCCAGTTGAAATTCATATTTAATTAGTCCTGTGCATTTTGAAAATTTGCAAAATAAGAGCTTTATGGCTTTTAACGACAGCATCTTGGGTGAAAAGCCTAGAGACTTCATGCTGTCCAAACTCCTAACAGTCCTAGGAACTTATTATAACATGGCAGCTAATAACATGCTAAAAGGCAGCATATTTAGGGTGATGCAGACTTTCGAACTGAGCACTGATAAGCCGGAAGGTTTCTCTCCTTTAGTCCAGAGGACATGGGGCACATAGTTGCCAAATGTCACATTTTGACTTGTCTAGCTACAGAATAGTTTTCCACTTTGCAACAGATTAAAATTAAATGAGCTTTGGCCCAGAGAAGACAGCAGAGTTTCTGGATCATGTTCCGAAATGGCTTCTTCTTTGTATGATAGAATTTTACCTTGCATTTTTGGATGGCACGGCAAATTGTATTCACAGACAGTGTTTTTTGGAAGCATTCCTGAGCCCATGCAATGATGTCCATCACAGAATCATGCCTGTTTTTAATGTAGTGCTGTCTGAGGGCCTGGAGATCTCGGGCATCCAATATTGTGTTTCAGCTTTGTCCTTTGTGCACAGAGAATTCTCCAGATTCTTGAAATGATGATATTATGTACTGTAGATGATAATACTGTATATTTTAAAGATTTTACAATTTTACATTGAGAAACATTATTCTGAAATTGTTCAACAATTTTTAGATGCATCTTTACTTCTCAGACACTCTGACTCTCTAAGGTGCTCTTTTTATACCCACTTACAGTATGTTACTGACCTGTTGCCAATTAACCTAATTCATTGTAAAATATTCTTCCACCTATTTGTTGTTCTTGTTAGTACCCCTTTCATTGCCAGCTTTTTGTTGCCCTGTCCCAACTTTTTTGAAACGTGTTGCTACCATCAATTTCAAAATTATTATTATTATTATTATTTTTAAATGGTACATTTTCTCAGTTTAAACATTTGATATTTTTTCTATTTTCCATTGTGTAAAGTATGGGTTTCTGAAATTTGCAAATCATTGCGTTCTGTTTTATTGTAGATTTTATACAGCGCCCCAACTTTTTTGGAATTGGGGTCAAATATTGCAAATAAGGCATGACATAAAAGTAGATGATACATAAAATATCAGTTTATTGAACAATACATAGGAATCTCGTACATACGAGAATTAATTAAAATAACAAGCTGATTCTTATATCCTGCATACACCAGTCTTAGGTGCGCAATATATTGGTATAATTATTCTGGACAAATATTTCCACTTAGCCAGATTACTTAAAAGGAATGCATCTTATAATTCTAGGTGTTTCATGAATGTTAACAATAAATCACTCAGCAATTCCTTAATAACATAAATCACATAAGGACTAAATACAAACTCCCCTAAGAAAAGTTACACTTTCACCCTTGAAAGCAAAAACTCAATGCTAGAACCTTTTCTCTATAAAAACTCAACCCCCTAATCCAAAATTAACAATAAAGTAAATTCAAATAAGATAAATAAATAAAATATAAGTTGACATATACACCAAAATAAGCTCAATGACATAGCGCAGTTGTATAAAAATAATATTTGCCAAAAGACACCAGTGAATGATAGAAAATAAATAGAGAGGAAAATTCTTAAAAATAAAAAAGAATGGAAAAAGCAAATCAACATAAGATGAACCAAAGTGTGTAATATACAGAGATTGCAAAGCCTTGAACACTAATGAAATAGTTGCCAGCACAAAAAGTAACAAAATTGACCCATGTGGATGTTTAGCAAAAATCATTATATAGATGTGCAGCCACAAATGGAAATTCCCTATGTGCTTACATGTGCGGGCTAAGGATCTCCAACTGCAAAAACATTGGTTCCAAATGAAGAGGAACCTCCCTCTATCTGCCTCCTTCAATTTATCCTCGAGGGGGAATCAAGTTCCTCCCAAGCACAATTTATACCCACAATTGTAAAGGGACCAAAGTCCCACTATCCAAACCCACCAACATGTGGGAAAAATGGCGCCAGGGCCACATCCCAAGCTGAGGCGTGATGACGTGCATGCATAGATTTCCATGCCGGCGTAAAAGTTGTCTGCTTGTCGTATGCACACTGATGCCACAGAATGGTAGGACATGGTGGGTGCCAATACAGATAATTCTCGCTGCTTACCTGCAAATCAAAGCGGGAGTGGAGGAATGCAAACATGACCACCCACACTGCCCAGCGAAAGTGGGTGGGGTGAATCAACCAAAGCATCACAAATCCCGGGAGAGAAAATCCACGACACCAAGCAGCAATCGCACCAGGAGGCAACACAAACACTTTTTCCATTCTCTTCCTAAAGGGTTTTGAGAACATAATAAACAATTGTATTTAAAGGCAATATCACATATTTACAAATTCCAGACAATTACAAAAAGACTCATTATCATTGTTATGAAACAAGCATAAATTTACTAGTATCTGTCTTGTGGACTACATTTATCATAACAATACCAAAATTATACTACAATTAAAAAACTATTTTTGCTTCGTCATCCAAATAAACTTAAGATTAGAACAGTTCATTAAGCATCAGATCACATTGGGCAGAGGTGTCTTCCACCTAAATACAATCATATAACAAATAAAATTGTGATCTGGTGCCTAAAATACTATGCATCCATCTTTTTTCAACAAGTACCCAAACACGCAATTTCCCCCACTTTAAGGCTCCATGCACACTGGCTTAAAAAAAGTCAGTGCTCTTGGCAGAAAAAAAAAAAAATTTGAGCATTTTTTGGACTAGCATTTAGCAGTGTTTAGGATCGCTTAGCGTTTTTGTTCTGCCAGAAAACACAACACAAAATGTTTTTTTTCTGCCTTTAAATGCTGAGCTTAAAAAATGCCTCTAGACTGCCAAATGTGCATGGGCACATAGGATAACATTAGTTGCTTCTACAGGCAAAACGGTAAACTCCTCTATGAGCATTGTTTTTATAAGCCAGTGTGCATGGAGCCCTAAGGAGACATGACATATAGGTAGATAGTACATAAAATATCAGTTTGTGTACTTGTTGAATAGGGTTGGAGGCATAGCATTTTATGAGCCTCATCACAATATTATTTGTTATATGATCTCACTGCTGGACTTCAAATATGTCTGCCTGTGTCATCTCCATTACATGGTGGATTGATGGGAATAGTAGTATACAGATAAAATTGTTTATGTTTTCTTTTCATTTCACGGGAAGTTACAAGGACATTGTGTTTGTGACATGATCAACAGGCATTTTACATTTGCTAAAAAATATTCTGAATAAAGAAAGGCAAAGCAGTCACCATTTTTAAGCACCGGTAAGCTGCCATATATTACAATTTCTTTTTCTTAGGTTTGCCAGGGGACTTGCCACAAAATCTAAACAAGAGTCCCATTTTGTTTTACAAGATCTTACTAAACGTATAATTTCAATTACAATTGGGTCTGCTTTCTCTTTCTGGTAACCCTAACATGATATAAGAGGTCACATGCATTACAGTTTATGTACAATGTGTATACAATCTCCTTTAGATTTACTAAGACTAATTCATGTAAATTTACTTTGTCCTTGCAGTACAAAATTGTTGGTAGATTTAAAGAAGATTGTACAATCAGTCAAGGTGTATGGCCAGTTTTATGCAGGCTCAAGCAGCAGATCAGAGAAAGGTAAATAAAATTTGACTATATAAAGTGATCATACCATATGTAAATAATTGTGTTGGGTCTTCTGCAATCCATGGACCCAGGAGAAATTTATACCCTGGGATATACTGTATATTTTATTTTACTACTGCAGGTATGATTCTAAGACCCAGTTCTGTAAACCCATTAGGACACCCTTATTTCATGTGCACAAGCTGCTTTCTTGATACTGAAATAGTTAGGTCCAGGGGCGGACTGACAACTCATGGGGCCCCCGGGCAATAGGGGATCATGGGGCCCCTGTGTCATTGCCCACCCCCAAAAAAGCCTATGAAAAAGCCAATGAAAGGTACCAGGGGCATCTCATGGGGCCCCCTACTGACCCCGGGCCCTCGAGCAGTGCCCGAGTGCTCGAATTGTCAGTCCGCCCCTGGTTGGGTCTGACACCAAATCCTGCCAAAAAAGCAGGATGAATGTGGAATAAAAGAGCTAAGTGGCTGAAACTCTAAACTGTGGGTGTGCAGGGATCAGTATCACCCACCACCAAAGCAACAAACATTATGGGTAAAAAGATAGTTAAATAGCCATTTTTGTCCTGGTACTAAGTAATATTCAAAACAAGAGATATTTTGCTGAATCTTCTGTGGACTTCACCTATTTTTATTGATTGAGCAAAAAGTCATGACTTGGCACACTAAAAATACCCCCCTTTAAAAATAAAAATAGTCTGCCTGTGTGCCAAATACATCCTACATCAGACTGATTAAATAGTTAGCAGTCCTTAAGCAGATTACTGTAATTCTTTGATATAATAACATCTGAGACTTCAGTTATACTTGGCTAAAGACAAAGAGCCTATTTTGAAGTTTTCACTTTGAATTGGCTTCTTGTAGGTTTCTCGCATAAACCACAGAATGCTCTTCTATTGGTGCAGGAGCCTCGGTGGTTTGTGCTGCTTTGCTTTCACTTCCCACCTTAAAACTTAAATTCAGCACTAATGAAACAAGCAGAAGCGCCTTATGTGCGTATGTTCTTTCTTCTCATGTAACCAGTATAGGTTAAGATATACAAGCCATACTAATTCTGAAAATGGTTCAGTTTCCGTAAATATATATCAGGACCCATTAGCCTTTAGAAGATATTTTAACAGACGTGTAGAATTTCATGAACTCAATTTAGAAGAGTAGAAGAAGAAGAAGAGCACTTTATTGCATGACTGTTCATTAAAATTGTTCACTGTGAAGGAAATCCAGTAAAACAATGATTCGCATGCCTTTGGCTTAGACTTGGTATAATTTTTTTTTCTGGCTTGATACAACAGAGATTAATTTCTCCTCAATGAGCCTTTGTTCACAAAATAAAGAAGAGAGCACTAGCATTAAAATCACCAGTAAATGTATATACAGTATTAGGCAATGAATATTTGTTTTATTTACTGCACATATAGATTGCACATATTAATTATAGTTACAAATAAGGCACCAAAAGAGTTCTGTAGTCACAGAATGTGTGGATTGGATTATGTGCATTAGGTATGCTCATAGCAGGGATGTAGAAAAGATGGGATAGGGGGCCCAAACTCCCATCAGAGCTTCCAGCCATCCAGGAACCTGAAGCAGAAGCTGCTCCTGCAGCTTGTAAGTTCAGAGCAAGGTGATTCTGCTTCTCCTGGGCTCCAGTCAGGGGTGTATCTACTGCGAGGCAAACAAGGCGTTTGCCTAGGGTGGTAATTTTTACGGGGGCGGCACCACCCCCCGGAAGAAGGGACCTTTTGAGCAGCGGCGGACAGAGTCATGCAGGGCCGCCATCAGAGGGGTACCACTCGTACTTTTATAGTAGCCCGGACAGAAGGAGGATTGATGTGGTGGGGTGTGGGGGAGGGCAATTGCAGAACGATGCTCATGTATCTCTCCCTCCAGCAGCTGACGAGCCAAGACCAGGGGAACACCTGGAGCAGGGAGAGGAGAAGTGTCGGAGGTGAAAGAGCCGGAGGAGGTGAGCTGTGTTGTGTTCTGTGGGATCTCCCTCCTGTCATCCATCCAGCACATTATGCACTGACAGATCGTATAGGACTGCACCCCCCCCCCTCCTACTGCCTGGAGATCAGCAGCCCTTGGAGAGGAGGTGTGTGTGTGCAGTCCCATATGATCTAAGAAAGAGAGAGAGAGGGGGGAAGAGAGAGAGGGGGAAGAAAGAGAGAGAGGGAAGACAGAGAGAGGAAAGAGAGAGAGAGGAGAGAGAGAGGAAAAGAGAGGAAAGAGAGAAGAGAGAGAGGGAAGAGAGAGAAGGAGGGAAGAGAGAGGGAGGGAAGAGAGAGAGGGTAGAGAGGGAAGAGAGAGAGGGAAGAGAGAGGGGGACGCGAGAAAGAGAGGGAAGAGAGAAAGAGAGGGAAGAAAGAGAGAGGGAAAAGAGAGGGGGGGAGAGAATGATGGAAAAGAGAGACACGGAAGAGAGAGAGGTAAGAGAGAGAGAAAGAGAGAGGGAAGAGAGAGAGAGGGAAGAGCAAGAGGGAAGAGAGAGAGAAGGAGGAGAGAGAGAGGAAGAGAGAGAGGGGGAGAGAGAGAGGGGGAGAGAGAGGAGGGAGAGAGGGGGGGTAGGAAGAGAGAGGGTGGGAGAGAGAGGGGAGAGAGAGAGAGAGGAGAGGGAAGAAGAGAGAGAAAGGAGAGAGAGAGGGAAGAGAGAGAAAGGAGAGAGAGAGAGAAAGAGAGAGGGAAGAGGGAGAGAGAGGGGGAAAAGAGAGAGGCGAGAGAGAAGAGAAAGAAAGGGAGAGAGAGCATCATATATACATAGACACACTTATAGACTCTCTCGCTCTCTCATTGGGCAGCACAAAATCTAAATACACCACTGGCTCCAGTCACATGGCCAAGCCAAGGGAGGACTTCTTTTTTGTACTCTGTCTTCTAACCTACGCATTACACTCTCCCGATCCCTGCACTCCCAACCCTGTATTGTATGAATTATGTACTGACCCTTGTGCTCCTGACTCCTGCTTTCTATGTTTTATGCACTCCTGACTTCTGCACTCTGTGTGTTATGCACTCCTGATCCCTGCGTTACACACTCCTGGCCGCAAACCAGAAGTGCACGTGCCGCCATTTTGGTAAAGGGATTTCTGCACATTGCTTACAGAATACACTGTATAGTGAGTTATAACCCCATAGTGTCCCAGGAGGACACTTTTAAATGTGAGTTTACTAGATTATTTTAATAAAGGCTGTTTTTATTGGCAATACTATACTATATTGAGCATTCTCTTCACATGGATGTGGAGCAATCTGGAGATATTTAAAAGTGCTAGATAACGGTGGTGAAGATCTGTGTACCAGTATACTCTCCCGGGTTAAAGGGAAAAAAAAGCTCAGTTTGACCTGTCAGTACGGGTCAAACTTGGAGGTTTGCGCAATAGTGTGTTGGATGTGGATGAGCACTAAGGGGTGACACAGGAGCACCATATATGTTTATGCTGTAGTGTGGAAACAGGGGCGGACTGACCATTTGGAAACTTGCGCACTGCCCAAGGGCCCGGGGGTCAGTAGGGGGCTCCATGAGATGCCCCTGGTACCTTTTTCATATGCCTTTTTTAGTTTGGACAAGGACACAGGAGCCCCATGATCCCCTATTGCCCAGGGGCCCCATGAGTTGTCAGTCTGTCCCTGTGTGGAAACGTACGTTTCCTTACCACAATATGTTTGGAGGCCACACTTTGACTTAGACCAGTAAGCTTTTCAAAGCCATTTGCTGCCTAGCTAACTAAGTATGCTTCCACTGCTGTGCAACAAAGACTTTTTATTATTTTTTATATTACTTTAATTATGGTAATATACAGTACTGTAAATAAAAAACTTGATGATCGATAAAACAAAGGATTGTCGTGTCCTAAGTTTTATTTATTTATTTTACCATATTAGGCAAAGGCCCATGGTCTGACCTGGACACTAATTTACAACTAGATTGTGCTGATTTGCTAATAAAAAGAATATATTTTTGGAAATACGTAAACCAAAAAAGATATGTCTATTTACCTGAAATCAAAATGATTTACAGATAAATGCGTGCAAGTGCGTTGACTAAGTTTCCTACATTGCATAAAAACAGCAGAAAAAGAAGAAAGAAAAGTAGAAAACACAAAGAAAGTTGTGAGACACAGAGGAAGTGCATGAGGAAGAAAATAAAAGTAACTGACAAAGTGAAAAGGAAGGAAGGGTCTGAAAGTGCATTTTGCAAATACTTTTCAGCATTGTATACACGTACAAGAATTTCTGAGCTCGCAAAAAGGGTTTCTTTCATGTGATACGGTATTCTTGGCAATGGGAAGCTTTACCTCATTTACTAGCCTTTGGAACAACTGCATTTGCAGAGGGCCACTGCACTTTGCAAAGTGCACAGTCTTTTTGCCTTTAGTAAATCAACCTATAATGTTTCTGCAGCTAGACCTCAGATGCAAAATTTGTACTGTCTGCTCTTGGGTAAATCCTGCTTTGCATTTCAAAGTTTGCATCCTGTTCCAGTGCTTTGGTACTGTAATGATGTCACACATAATGTTTCTGCAGATAGATTTCAGCTGCAAAATTTGTGTAGTGCCCCTTTAGTTAGTCAGGGGGAGCTAGCTAGGTTTTTAGTTAAGAGGCTGGATAGCAATGAGTCAGCTTGGATAGTCAACCAGGGTACTTTGGGTCAGGGCTGAGGGCTCTGCAGCAGTTCCCTGATACCCCCCCCCCCCCGGCTCAAGATGAGACGTTTCTAACCAGGGGGGCTGACTTAGTTAAGGGTCAGGGCCCCAAGCAGAAGAGGCTGGATAGCAGCCTGGTATGAGTCAGCCTTGGATGAGTCAACCAGTTACTTTGGGTCAGGGCTGAGGGCTCTGCAGGTCAGTTCCCCCCCCCCCCCCGGCTCAAGAAGCTTGAGACGTTTCTAGAAGGCAGTGGGTGGGGGTGAGGAGGGGCTGATCTGCATAGTTAAGGGATCTTGGCCAATCCCCAAGCAGAGGGCTTGGCACGGGGCCAGGACAGCCCTTAAATATGACTGAGCCTGATCAGCAGTAGGAGAAGTGTCGGGTGAAAGGTGGAGTAAAGGCTGGAGTGTGGAGCCTAGTAGCGGGCCTGGGAGAGGGGCCCACCTGCAGAGAGAAGATGGAAGGTAGGATCTCTCAGCCTCAACCATCCCCTCAGGGAGGACAGCCTAGGAAGCATGGAAGGAGCCAGACATAAAGGCAGCCACCAACCAACAAGCTTGCAGGAGAAGACTGACTGAGTAATCCCACACACCCTGGGCCAGATAAGGGAAGAGGTCGTTCTGGTGGGAAACTTGACTAGCCCCCATCTGGGACTGTTGGTTTAAAGTGGAAGATTCTTGGTCCCCTTGCTCAGGGATTCCCTCAGGCAGCTGGGTGAAGAGGATAATTCATCTGGGGTCTGAGGCAGTATACCAGGGGAGCTGGA